TGTGACCTCACATATCCATACATGCACACAGGTAAACACACACACACACCACCTGTGTCTGGTCTGTCTCCTCTGTGACCTCACATATCCATACATGCACACAGGTACACACACACACCACCTGTGATTGATCTTCTCCTCTGTGACGTCAAATATCCACACATGCACACAGGTGCACACACACACACTCCACCTGTGTCTGGTCTATCTCCTCTGTGATCTCACACATTCATACATGCACACAGGTGTGCACACACACTCCACCTGTGATTAGTCTATATCCTCTGTGAACTCACATATCCATATGTGCACAGAGGTGCACACACACACACCACCTGTGATTGGTCTTTTCCCTTATGACCTCACATATCCATACGTGCACAGAGTTGTGCACACACACACCACCTGTGATTATTCTATCTCCTCTGTGAACTCACATATCCATACACGCACACAGGTGTGCACACACACACCACCTGTGATTGGTCTTTTCCTCTGTGACCTTACATATCCATACATGCACACAGATAGGCGCGCACACACACGCACACACACCTGTGATTGGTCTTCTTCCTGTGACATCACACATCCATACATGCACACAGGTGCACACACGACCAACCATGTCTGGTCTTCTCTCAGGTGACCTCCCATTGAGCGCCTTCTCCTGGGGGCTCCTGCCCACTCTGGTCCTGACCCAGGTGGCACTCGTGGCACTCACACACTGTAAATTGTGGTCACACTTCTGCAAACACTTTCAGTTGCTTCCAGCCTTACCTGAGTAGGCTCCGTGGCTTTAGGTGCTCTTTCCCCTTACTGCTTAATGCTGCCTTGAGGTTTGGGGGCAGCTCGATGGGCAGGAGCTGGTGCTCCAGGACCTCAGCCTTCTCGTTCTCCACGATCTCCTGTCTCAGCTTCCAGAAGCGCCTGATCTCCTCCTCGCTTGCCCAGTGCTCTGTGGCGTCGGGGGGCCTCCGGAACTCGCTCAGGTGAAGCCCTTCCACAGGCGGGAAGAAGTCCGCCTCCTGTCCCCCCAGCGTGGCCTTCAGGTCCCAAGGGCTCCTGGTTTTCTCATTAGGCATGCAGTCCTGGGACAAATCCAGCTGGGGGTCTGGAAGCTCACTCGGGTCCAGCTTCTTAACTGGTGGAGCCTCTGACAGAAGGAAATGCCATTTTAGCAGCCTGAACATCAAGGCCACCTCCAAGAGCCAGAGAGGTGGGAGGGCGTCCCCTCACCTCCACGCAGCAGGCTGCTTCAGAGCCCAGCAGCTGCTGCACAGACAGGAGCAGCATCTCTCCAAGAGGCCATATCTCTTTGCACAAGTGTCACTGTCCGGGGTAGGACATCTCTGCTCCCACCCTCGAGCCCTCGAGCCCTGACTTAACTTACGGCTAGTCTGCTGCTCTTGTGTGGCCATGCCTCTGCTGACTATCAGAGACTTTGGATCCACATCAGCCACGTGAGAGAAAAACTAGCCCCGGTGTGTTTCTCACTGTGTTTGGAATTGGGACCCAGACTGCATTTCTGTTGATGGAAACAGGTGCTCAGAACTGTGAGCCGGGAGGACAGAGGCTGCAGCAGGGGCCCTGCCAGGCGGGGCAGCAGCTAAGGGATGGGGACCAAAGGGAGTATCTCACTCTAGTCACTGCTGCACCTTCTGTTCTTACATTTTAAACAGCTGTGACCACTCTGAGCTATTCTCTGGTAAAGCACACAACCACTGTCAGACTTTCAGGCCCAGCCCATTGTCTGTCTGCCAGCCACGTGTCAGCTGCACGGCCACCCCAGCTCCAGCTGCAGCCTGCTCCATAAACTGCAATTGGGTGGAAAGTAGTTGAGAAAGAACACTGAATGAAACTGCACACTCAAGCACTCATTATAAAAAGTATTTTCAGAATTAGCAGTTTACAGATTGTTCTCCTTTTAGCAGAGCCTTTCTCTAAACACTCCGTGGAAGGGGCTGCAGGTGCCAAGGGGCACCACCCAGCTGTCATCACCGTACATGCCCAGGGGGCTTCTCTCCCTGCCTAAACCACGATGAGTGAGTGGGAACTCACACAGGTGCCACACTCGCACTGCACAGGACAGCATGTCCCCCACCTCTGCACCTCACAGACTGCTACATGCTGGGGGCTTTCAGTATTAAAGAAAAGGCTCACAAAATAGGCAAAGACACACTTTTAAAAGTCCTAATTAGTTGTGAAATTCCCCTGGTGTATTTTTAGCAACTGGAAATGTGCACATTTGGCCAGTTTGCCTGTGGATAATCCATTTAGGGGCAGAGTGGAAACCGCAGACTCCCGAGAGCGCCTCCTGGAGGAAGATGGTGCCACACTGAGCAAGGACGAGAGGCCAGAGACCATGCACAGCGTGTTGGAAACCACCTGGGGGCCAGCCCTGACGTGGGAAGACACCGAAGCAGCAGGTATTCATTTTTGACAAACTATTTGATGTATTTTGGGCTTTTTAGTTTGAAATGGCCTCAAACTTAAAGAACAGTGCAAGAACAGGGTGGAGGGCCTGAGTTGCACTGATGCCAGGTGCGCAGCTGCGGAGTCTCACCTGGCACCAGGGCCACAGCTGTGTCCACGCGCCCTCCCTCAGACACGGCTTCTACCTCAGATGGACTCTCCCGCAAGGGCCACCCGGCCTGGAGAACTGGGGTGTCAGCCTGAAGGCCCACTGTCCACCGCAGACCCTCTAGGCCCTCGCCAGGTGTCCCAACAGTGCCCTCTTCCACCTCTCTCCAAACAGGTCTCCTCCAATCTGGAAAGACCCTGCTGGCCATTCCCTTCCCTGGTGTGCTCCTCTGTGAAGGGTGCAGACTGTCCTGTGCAATGTCCCTCCATGGGGTCCGTGGGGTCTATCCTTGAGTAGACTGCATCTTGGGCCCCCAGGTAGGCCCAACGGCCCCTGTCCTCACACAGCCTCTCAGCTGCAGAGTCCAGGCCCTCATGCCTACCTCTCCTCAGCCATCCCAGGCTCGTGCTACCTGATGCCCCAGCCAGGTGCCACTGCCCTCCACGGTGCAGTCCAGGTCAGACAGCCAAGGGGTGCAGATGTGTCCAAGACCCCAACTTGCAGACTCTTCCCCACTGGGGGCATGCTGTTCATTCTTCCCACTCCCCACAACCCATCAGCATCATAAAAGCCAGGCGCTTTTGCCATGCACCCCAGAAGGAGCCAGACCAAACCATGCCAAGGTCAGGTGCCATGCAGCATGGCAGTGCCAACAGAGACTCCAGCAGTTCCCAGGGTAAGCTGACTGCCCACTCTTGAAGGCCAGGGTATTGGGCCAGTGAGAAACCTCCTGCATTACAGCCCACCCTTGACCGCCACACATGATCAAAAGCTGGGTGCTTTCTCAGCTGGAGCAGACGCCAGCCGCTCTGCTAGGGCACTCCCTCCTGGAGGAGACGCCAGCTGGAGCTTGGTCCAGGTGTTTGTACTCCTCCACTGGGTGCCATTTTCACTGTCCCCGACCAACCTGTCTCTAGCATCACAATGGCTATCTGCCCTTCCCAGTCCATGTCTCAAGATTCGTGGCAGCTTTTGATGCCACTGCACATGCCTCTCACACAGGATGGCAGGCCTGGAGAGCATACACCATCTCCAGGGGACGCCCTGTGCTGAGCCAAGGGCACCAGGGTGCAGTGCTTCCTGGGCTTGGCACCACCACTCTGTAAGTCTTCCTATGCAGACATTCCTGGAGGGTCTTCTGATTGCACCTGGTGTCCTCACCAGCTGCTCTCAGCCCTCTGGCTCATGGTACACTGCCCTCCACCAGTGTTTCCCGGGTTCACCTCCAAGCCAGCCACTGGCTCGAGCATCCAGATCTTGGAGCTGCTTCCGAGGATTCAACCTAGACATCGCACATGTATGACCAACACTCTGAAGCGAGGCATCGGGGCCATCTGCGATGGATCGAGGACAGATGCATTAAGCACAGGCCTGGTCATCTTGGACCAGGCTTTTCTACCAGCTTCTGGATGCTACATCCCATCAGGAGAATGAAGCTCTTGCTCCTTCCTCTCTCCCCAGGCTCCTCTTGTCTCTGCCAAGTCCAAGCCCAGCTCCTCTGAGCCCATCAGCAGACCACTCTGCACAGGGTGCTGTAGGCAGGGACTCACTGCAGGAGCCCGTAGAAGGCATCTGGAAAGCTTATCACAATGGCCCAAAACCCCCAAACATAAGCAAACAAGAAACGAAAACCAGAAACCACAGCCCTCCGGAAGTCTCTGTTTATAAAGTGCAATGAGCACACCAAGGAGAGAGGCTTTTCTTCCTCCTCTGTTGTTTCAAAGCCCTGCAGCCTCTTCCCTGGAGAGCTCCCACCGGCTGAAGACCCCAGGAGAGTCACAGTGGCCGTGCCTGGAGGCAACTCCCAACAGGCCCAGAAGCAAGTCTCCTTGCCCAGGCACCTCCACCCAGGAGTTCAGGAGCATGTCCCGGGCTCGGCTGTGGGCTTGGGATCACTGGGAGCTGTTACCAAGTACATGCCACCTGGGCCACAAGTGCAAGCTCACGTGCCACTGCCACAGGCCAACTGTTTACATATGCAATTTACATTATCTATGTGCTTTCTTGACTAATCATTAAAAATGCTCACGTTCCTACGTATAGAGTATATGACTCAGTCCAACTTTAACCACGGTGAAGTTAATGTTTCAGAATGTTTACTGTTTTGGTGAGCTTCATGGTGACTCTCCTTCTTCTCTATTTCACTTTACTTTTTCTAAGTGTAAGTAACCTCAAGAGCACTTGAGACCAGATGAGACCATGAGCCCTGAAAACACCTTCTGGTCACGTGCTGTCAAGGTGGAGCAGCTGAGCAAGGGCCTGCTGCAGAGCTGACAAGACCATCACGCTGGCAGAGCCCCTCTGCTCCTCTCCTGTACCTGCAGGCTTATTTTGGTCTTCTAATGGAGCACGGGCCTCCTGAGCCTCTGCTCCCTGCTGGCTTCGTTAAGTTCCCACAGTGACCTCCAGACAGGCTCTGTGATGCACCCTGGGGACGTGAATCCTCGAGCACAGGCCAAGCGAGGTGGTGTGGCTGGTCCTCCTGGGACCCACAGAGGACAGCAGCTGCCCAGGTCTTCAGGAGGACATCAAGAAGAGATGAACGAGCTCCACCCTGGCTTAGAAAAGCTTGACCCCCAGCTTCCATGCACGATGTCATCAGCTGTATCCCCAGCCATCGTCCCACAAACCTGAAGCAGCTGACTCTCTGGGGAAGGAGTGCTCCACCGCACAGATCCGCAGGAAGGTCAGGATGGCCACCACTCCTTTCTGCACGATGAGCTGAGGAGGGAATTCCAGAGGGCAGTGTCTTAAGTTCAGTGCCTTCAGCGTGGCCACGTTCCCTGCAATGGAGGAGAGAAACGTCAGTGCTCTGCAAGACGCTGCTGCAGGGACACAGACAAGATCAAAGCAGCTGGTCTTGCATTTAAAACGACTCTAGTTGGTATTGGGGTCAGAGCAGAGGAGGACACCTGAGCTTGCTCTTTAAAAGCTGCAGGAAAGACACAATCCACAGATTGAGAACAGGCTACATGAAACAATAGCAGCAAAAGCCACCCGCATGCACCACTCGCAACACCCATTTGTTGCGTAAAAGCTGCACCAGACCCACAGAGGTGGGGAAATGTGTCCTGCCCTCGGGGAGTGGGCAGTCACCCAGAACTGCCTTTGGGCAGTCCCAGATGCTGGGTCCAGCAGACAGACTTCAAAGCAGCCATGACAGCCGGGCATGGTGGCGCACGCCTGTAATCCCAGCCACTTGGAAGGCTGAGGCAGGAGGGTCGTGAGTGCAAAGCCATCCTCTGCAACTTAGCGAGACCCTGTCTCAAAATAAAACATAAGGGGCTGGGGATGTGGCTCAAGCGGTAGCATGCTCGCCTGGCATGTGTGCGGCCCAGGTTCAATCCTCAGCACCACATACAAACAAAGACGTTGTGTCCACTGAAAACTAAAAAATAAGTATTAAAAAAAAATTAAAAAAAAAAATAAAATAAAACATAAAATGGGCTGGGGGGAGGGGGATATGATTCAATGGTAAGCACCTGTGGGTTCAATCCCTGATACCAAAACAAAGGAAATACTACCTCACCCACCCTCCAGCCATATCTGCTGTGTACATCCACAGGCTCCAGCAACCCAAAAGAGCAGCATTTAAAATCATCTTTTGTTTTATTGTTCTAACACTTACCCAGCTCCACAGGTAACACTTTGATAGGATTTCTTTCTAAAAGCAAAGTTTTCAAATGCCTTTAAAGCAAAAAATAAAATTAAAAATTAAAAAGCAGAAAATTAAAAACGACCACACCTAAAATATACCATCAAATCTCTTCCTTTTCCTTCTCCTGTTTCAGAAGTCAGTGCAACATAGATCCCAACCCCGATTCCAGCACTGACCTGCCACTGGCAGCCCCAGTCAGCGTAGGCTCTGCCCCGGCACCACCTGTACCTGGGGCCAGGCCACTCTCCACTGTGGGTGCTGTCCGGGCACCGTGGGCACTCAGCAGCATCCTGGGCCTCCCCTTCGAGATGCTGTGTGGTTCCCTCCAGCTGTGACAGCCCCACTGTCTCTGGACACTGCCAACAGTCTTCTGGGGCAAACCCACCAGCCGAGAAGCCCTGCGCTGGGCTCTCCACCTCTTCCCGTCGGGACTGCACCTTGACCCCTATCCCACGGCACGATGTGAGCAGTCCAGGTGCTTCCTGGGCTAGGAAGGAGTTTCAGCAGTGTTTGGAGACCCAGCTGTGCAGGACACACCCACGCCATCAGAGGCAGTCACGCATGGGGCTCCTGGGAAGTCTCAAGGCAGGCACAGCCAGAGGGGACTTCTAGATGTGTTTGATCTTGGATGCCTTCTCTCACGTAGTGCCTATTAACAGCTCATGCATTAAGACAAAATGTGCCATAGACAGACGGGGTATTCAAAAGGTGCCCTCTAAAATTCACTGACTGAATCATGATGGAAAAAATCAGTATTTTACATTAAACTTTATTTTGCACTTCTTCTTCTGCTCATTTTTCACATTTACTTCTGAGGACTGTATCATCTGTCCATCTGTGCAACTATGTACTCAAGACGTTGAGATCTTGGTCAGCTGTGATGTGGGCTGAACTTTTTCACCTCCGAAGGCAAATGAGACTCAGACAGGCCCCCCACCCCCGAGGCACGTAGGGGAAGTGAGTGTGGCCAACTCTGCCATGTGGGGTGGTCTGAGAAGCTGTGTAGGGAAGGAGAGCTGCCACTGTGGATTGCACTGACTTGCACCCCAGCCACGCCAGGTCCACACTGTCCAGCTGGAGCCACTGGAGCCGTGCAGCCTTCTACCAGCCAGGGTCATCGCAAACAGAAGCGTGGCACAAGCTTCTTTCGGGGCACGTGCTGCCACAGGGGGTGGGGTGCTGCCTGCTGCCCATGCTCCTGGCTCAGCACCGCCTGAGCTGCTGCAGGGAGGGCCAACGGGGCCACAGGTCAGCCCGGGAGGCCAAGCAGGGCAGGGCTTGCAACATCTTCCTGCACTGTCTCTTGGTGAAGCCAGCGTCAGCAGGTGACAGTGGACAGTGACCAGGAGTCCTGTCTTCTCCCAGGGTGTCCTTGAGAAGGGCCCCAGACCCTCAGGCTGAAGGCACAGTGAGGAAGCCAGCATGTCTGTGATCTTTTGAGGCCAGATTGCAGCTGACGAAGACAGAGGTACAAGACAGAGGCTTCCTACCAGTATGTCATGAAAATGAATTTTCTGATTGCAATCCAGGGGAAAATCCGATTACCGAAGGATTAGACAGTTTTCTCTTACCCTCTTAGGTCTTCCTTACTGTTGGGGTTTTTAAGGAATAAACTGCTGAGGGAATCCTTCCCTGCAGTGCTCAAGGTGGACCATCCCAGTGCTGCCCTTTTGGCTGCTTGGTTTTGGTCCCTTTCACTCTCACCACACAGGCACAGCTACCAGGAAGCAAGGATGGTGTCTCTCCCTGTGAGACGTCTGTCTCTCCCAGTAGGACCCCAGACACCCAGGACGGCAGAGGACAGAGGCAGCTCGCCTCCTCTTCTCCAGCGCCAAAGCCCGGGGGAGCTCGGCCCTCGCGGCAGTGCTCCTTCTTGGGAGGTGGGATGCTTCCCAAGAGCACAGGAGAGTCCCCTACCATGTACCATTGCCCCAGAATGTTCTCATACACACTGTAGACGACTGACTTGTAACACAGTCCCTCACGTCCTAGTAGTTCAACCTTCACTCATGGACTACTTCATTTCAATGATTCTCAATTGAACATACAAATCTACATATAAAATTGGACTTGTTTGCCTTGGGATCTATTTTTTAAGAATTTCTCTCTGCTAGAAAACTGACATGTCCAAGTCACTGAGAAGGGGAAAGTCCAAGGTTTCTAACAGGCCTATGATCACTCAAGACTTCTAATTGACATGTCTTAGCTCTTCAGCAAACTGATCCCATCTTAATCATATAATGGGTCATAAATCACAGAACAAGGTGTAGCTTAAACAACAAGAAGCAGCAGGCTTTGGCTGGCAAAATCAAAGAATTCCAAACTCTGAGCTCTGTGTGCTTATTTTAGGAAGAAGTGTACTTGCAGGAATAGGCTTTAGTTTATTTTTACTCTTGAGTAGCAATTACTCACCCGAACTGAGTGCTGAGGCTAAGATAATTTATGAACAAAAAGCACTCACTCATCCAAACACAGAGGCTGATGGCCATGTGAGGCAGGAAGCCTTCCCAAATGCAGAAGCCACCAGCTCAGAGGCACAGGAGGCTGCTGGGCAGCCTTGCCTCAAATGCTGGCTCCTCTTGGGTCCACCCGTGACGCCCCCCAGTGCTCCAGGCATCCCCACCTGCTTCAGTACTAGCCTGTCATCAGACTGGGCTAGTGACTGATGGGCACTCCTCATGGCCACATGGAGCAAGAGCACTCCTTAAACTACTTCCAAAAGCCTCACCCTGGCGCTGCACCGCAGCCTCCATGACACAGTCACTGGGACATAATGGTGTAGGAACTCGGGTCACCTCCAGACGCCCCTCTTCCTTGTAGGGAGCGAGTCTGAATGATTCGTATTTTCCTTCCCTGAGCCCGAGAGGCTCTGACCCTCACCACATTGCTCCAGTCCTGGAAGTTTGAGGACACGCCTTCAGACGTAGGCCGGTCGCCCCATGGATTGAACCACCCTCACCTGTTCCTTTGTGATGTTACCCCTTTGCCCTGCTTGGGACAGAATGTTCCCTGGAAACGCCCTTTGTGTGTCCCCTTCTCTGGCTCTGCCTTTGAGCATGACCTTCCTAGACGTCAGTCAACCTGCTGACAGCAGACATCAGGAAGCCAGACTCAACCCCCTGAAACCTGACCCCTGGCCTCATTTGAATGGCTTCTCCTCAAAAAAGGGCTCAGCACATGCTCGCCCGCTCTCTTTCTGGGGACCCTTAAGGTCAGAGGAGCTGTCACATGAACACAAAGAAAAAAGTCTGTCTCTTGTGTGGATATTTCACGCAGCCCAGTTCCCCTGCAGTGATCCTGGGTGTTTCAGTTGGGAGGACACGGCACTTCCACTCCAGCCCCACCTCCACCCCACCCAAAGCGCGGCCAGGTGCTGCCTCTGGCATGGACGGCTGCAGTGGCCTCCCAGCCATCCCCCTGCTTCCACTCTCGCCCCTGCAGCCTCCCCTCATGGTGTGGCTCAGGCCAAGTCCCACTGCTCCCTCTCCACTCACCCCTCCTGGGACTTCCCTAAATGAGTTGAGAACATGGGCTCTGTGGGCTGGCTCCCCACTGTGGGATGAATACACGAGGAGAACAACTCAAAGGAGCATTTGGGCTCACGGTTTCAAAGGCTTAGGGCCACAGTCGGCTGGCACATTGCTTTTAGGCCTGTGGTGATGGCAGGGCATTCGGAGAAAAGGGCTCCCCTCCTGGCATCCAAGAAGCAGAGAGGGAGGAAGGGGCAGGGGACAGGAGACATTCTCCCAGGGACACCCCCACTGGCCCACTTCCTGCAACGAGGTCCCACCTCCTACAGTGTCTACCACCTCCCAGTGTCCATTCAGCTATGCCCCATCAATGGGTTAGTCCACTGACAAGGTCAGCCTGTAGGGTTCAATTACCTCCCCAAAGCCCTGCCTCTGGACATTGCTGCCTGGGACCAAGCCTCAACACAGGAGCCTCTGGGGGACACTCCAGATCCAACCTTGTAGGCTCCAAGCTCAGTGATGCTCCAGACCTTACTACGCCCCCAGCTCTGGTTTGCACACTGGCCTCCAGGCCGTCACAGTCACAGCTAGAAGAGTGTGGTGCTTTTGGACAGCACACCTCCGACCGGCTCTAAAATGATCTAACACCTCCATTCTAAAGTAACCCCAGGAAAGCAGGCACTGATGCAGCCTAAAGAGAGGGCAACAGGAACTCTGACTCACTTGTGAGAGCCAATCCCAGGGGGAAGCGCCTTGATTCTGTTGTACCGGAGGTCGAGCCAAGTCAGGTTTGGCAGCAGCTGGAAGAAATCTCTAGGAATCACGCAGAGGGCATTCCTCTGAAGATGTAATTGCTTGCACAGAAAAGAACAGAAAATGTCTCATTAACCAACCCAATTTCAAAGCACGGTTTATTCAAGAAAGCATTTTCAGAAAGACAGTATACTAACTACCATGTGTGGCACATTAAAAAGTAACAAGACATTTTACCCTTATAGATTTAAACAGCTGACACAGAATCAGAGCAGAGTTCTTTTCAGAGCTGAGAGTGACTTCTGTGTGCCATGCCAAGTACCTGCTTTCTCAATGAAGTACCTTTTGACACCAAATTCACCCAGGACTTCACAGACCATTTTCTCCCTCCTAGGCTCCACACTCAGCGTCCTGACTCTGGGTAGCCCAGTGAACTGTTCCCTTGACGAGCGGGTCCTGGGGATCCACCCAAGTTCATGGCTAAGGGAAAGCTGCTGGACAGAGGCATAGGGGTCTTCCATGGCACTATTTATGATAGATGGATGCACAGAAGTCCCTTCAGAAGCCATTTCAGAACAGTGTGGCACATCAGCTCAGAAACATCCAAGTCACCATCATGGATAAGACCAGGTGGCAGCAAGACTGCTTGTATACCTACAACCTACACACAACTGTCCCCACCTATCCACAGGGAGGCTGAAACCATCGAAAAGTACTGCATATGTGCTGCGTGCATCCCCCAATACACACACACCTAAGGAAAGGTGGGACTCATGGAGAGGCATGTAAGAGGGCCACAACCAAGAGCAGCAGCAGGGCTGCGCTGTGGCCCAGTGAGAGCGCTTGCCTGGCATGTGTGAGGCACTGGTTCGATCCTCAGCACCCATAAGAATAATCAAAACAAAGGCAATCTGTCCATCTACAACTACAAGAAAGAGAGAAATAACAGAACCATCTAGCCATACTGTACAGTTCATAAAAGTCATTAAAACTTATGAGTTATTTATTCCTCAAATTTTCTACTTAATATTTCTGGACAAGGGGGGAATAAGGTGTATTTAATTGCACAATCATATAATAGCCAGATGAGAGGAATTTTTAACATCATGCAATTAGCATTATTACACCCATCTCCTCCTGCACCTAGGTGTACTGAGGAGGCAGACACAGATGCTCAGAGCATGACCTTGAAGCCAGACAGCTGGGCTCAAAGCTAGGTCTTGACACCTATCAGCTATGCGGCCTTGACCAAGTTCTGAAACCTCTGTGTTCCAGTGTCCTCGCCACAGCTGCTGGGCCCCACCTCACAGGGTGTGCCCCAATCAGGGAGTGCCTGTGATCCTGGGCCTTTTGCCACTACACTGTCTGCTACTCAGTGGGCAATCAGGCAATTCCTTGTATACCATAGTTCCACAAGCCCCCAAATCCAAACCAGTTACAGGCCTCTGCGAGACACTGACTAGAAAAGTCACGCTCCTTATAAATGCATTGAAAATCATATGCCTATTAGAAAACCCCTGTTCCTGCCTGCTGGCAGCTGGCATGCTCTCTGGAAAGCAGTGGGGCCATCAGTGCACAGTATGTGCCTCCAGGTCAGCTGTGCGTGTACACACAGGCCTCCATGCAGGACCCTCCCAGGTCAGCTGCTGGAGCAGAGTATTAACCCTTCCAGTCTGTGCTTGCCCTGTCGGTACCAGCCAATTCTAGTGTGCAGCTCCGAAACCACAGGTCCTCCTGAAGGCCAGTAAGAGGACTCCTTCCCAGCACCCCCAGAAATGCAGGCACTACCCCATGTGAAGCTGGTGGGTGGAAGAGTGTGTGGCCTCTCCCTGCCTCAAGGTCCTGGGAGTGTGAAGGTGGAGCATTCTTTACATGTCCCCTGAGTACCAGTATCTCTGGAAGTGCGACCTACAATGCCAAGGATTGCTCTATAGCTACAAAATGTGGCCTGTAACCCCTAAGAGTCTGCATCTGTGAGTGGTTACCTCACTTAATGATTTGTTGGCATGGCAATAAAATTATCTATCTTACGAAAGGGAAATAGTTGTGACGCTTCTCTATTAAGCTGAAGGACTTGGAATTTCCTCCTCTCCTGTAGGCACAGAGTCAATGGGAACCTCAGGGCTCGACATCTGCTTCATCACAAGTGACACACACAGGAGCCCATCACAGGATGAGGTGGGTCCCTGTGCTGGCAAAGCCCTCAGAGGTCAGTGCTAATAAAGAACAGCAAGAGCAGCGCCGGCCCTGGCAGCAAACAGGTAAACATAAACTGGCAAGCAGGCTTCAGCAGTGCAGGCGCCACCTGAAATGCCAAAGTGCAGCTTTCATGAAACCGCTGGGCATGTCAACTCACATCACAATGTTCACTGTCTTCACGTACATTATGGCTGCTCTTCACAATAATCCCAGACTCCAGATGAAGTCAAATAAGTTAGGGACCTCGTGACTCCAGCCGGGCTGGCACTGCTGGGGGGAGCAAGGTCTGCATCCAGGCTGTGCTCTAAGAAGGCGGTGCTCCAGAAGCACTCCCAGGCACTGCCCTCAGGAGGCGCCCAGCACCAAGGCCATGGCTGTCACATCAGCAACAGGGAAAGCAGTGGGAGAAACCGGCTGAACTGCTGTTCCACTGCTCAGGTCTTTGGAGGAGTTTGTTTTTTAAATAAGAGACCAAAGATGTTTGGGTGCTTGCCTCCCCCATGGGGCCTTGGTGGAGAGTGATGGCCTGCAGGATGGGCTCCCTCTTGTGAGCAGATGCACCACTGCCCTTGCCATGGCCCATATCTCGATTTCTCTTTGTTGTGATCAGCAATATGAAAGCCCAATTAACCCTTCTTTGCCTCTTTCTAGAATATTCTCCAAACAGCAAGATGCTTAGCAAGCAAGCGCAGGGCTGGGTGCTCCACTTATTTGCACAGCACCTGTGTGACAACATCCCAAGGAACGGCCACTTACTTGAAGGTTGGGGATTTTGAAGACCTCTCCCATGTGATGCAGACCACTTTGACTCAAGTCCAAACTTGGTGAGGGAGAAAAGATGATTCCCTCAATAATCCTATGAACATCTCTGGAAGGGGAGGCAGGCAAACCACTGACTCCATTAGCACCCTCCTCTGCATCCTCAGCAGCCCCAGCGGGAGCCCCACAGGTGCAGCTTCCCTCCATCTGTAGCCCTCCAGCGGCCACGGCTCATCCTCCTTGGTCTGGAGTCACCTGCAAACACAGGCAGGGGAGACCCAGCAACAGCCAATCACACTGACACAGAAGGTGAAATTAGAACCTTGGATCTTAATTGTCCAGCAACACCTTTGCTCAACACCAAGTTTAAGAACTGTGGCTCACCCAAATCTCAGCGGTGAGGCACAGCTCCACTTTGTCCAGCATTGATAATCAACTCTGTAATGCTTATGGGTCTTACATGCACATCTAATGGACGACCCGGTTACTGACACGTGTTCATGTCACTCCCATTTAGGGAGGAGGAGGGGTTCCAGTCAGTGAAGGAGCCGCCCCAAGGGCGCGCACATAGTAGGGAGCCAGGACTGCATGAAGGCAAACAGGAGCTCCCCAGGACATCCTGGCCTTTGCACAGTAGGTGGTTGGTGATTAGCAGAGAAGGGCAGGCCTCAGCCCGCTACAGACCCAACAGGGAAAACGTCCACACCCCAGCTGAAATATGCCAGGATGGCCCCGCCTCTATTTTCCCCATTTGGCCTGGTCGAGAAATGTCTCAAGTTCCCAGCCCAAGAGTCTCTGCAGGAAAGGAGACCAGGGCCTGGCGCAGCGTGATCCCAAGCCCCTGCGGAAGGCCACGCTGCCGGCACCACCCCCCCAAGTCTGCCCAGAAGCCCCGCCCGGCCCCGCAGGCACCACACCTCCCACAGCCCCGCCCCGCAAGCACACCACGCTCCGCAGCTCCGCCCCTCAGGCACACACCGTGCCCCTCAGGCACACCCCGCCCCGCAGCCCCGCCCC